ATGCTTATCTTGACTTCTGTAAACCACTGAAGTAACAAACAGAATGACAAAAGTCCCCTGGCCCTTGGAATGTCCGGAGACCCCCGCCCTTGTCTCCGCCCAGGAGGTGAATCACAGAATCCCCAAGCCCTTGGAATGTTCGAAACCTTTTCATCCCCATCCCCGCTCCTCACCCCCACACCCAAGGTGATTTTTCGGGTATAAAAAGTCGTGGCACCCTCCTTTTGACACCACAGGTTGGAGAGACGTGAGTCCTCTGTGGTCGCTGGCATAATAAATGACCCTGCAATCTGGCATACTTTTGTCTTAGTGCTAACTTTCTACGCTCGGTCCAATACAACACACCTAGCACAGCCCTGGAGACATACTGGGGCTTAGTAAAGCTTTATAGAAACAAACCAATTATGTAATCATAAACAATGCAATAGATTAATATAATACAATTATATGTAGCCACTAAGATTAATAATAATTTAGATGGTATGGTTCTTTTTAAAAATTTAAACAAGCTCAGGCCTGTAATCCCAGCACTTTGGGTGGTCAATGGGAGGACTGCTAGAGCCCAGGAGTTTGAGATCAGCCTGGGCAGCATGACAAGATCTCATCTCTATGAAACATACAACAAATTAGCTGGGTTTGGTGGTGCGCACCTGTGGTCCCAGCTACTCAGGAGGCTGAGGTGGAAGGACTGTCTGAGCCCAGAGGGTGAGGTTGCAGTGAGCTGTGATGGAGCCACTGCACTCCAGCCTGGCAACAAAACAAGACCTTGTCTCAAAAAAAAAAAAAAAAAAATTAAAATTTAAAATTTAAACATTTAAAAATTATGGGCCAGGCATGTTGGCTCCTGCCCAGCACTTTGGGAGGCCGAGACAGGATCACCTGAGGTCAGGAGTGTGAGACCAGCCTGGCCAACATGGCAAACCACTGTGTGTACTAAAAATACAAAAACATTAGCTGGGCATGGTAGCAGTCACCCTTAATCCCAGCTACTTGAGAGGCTGAGGCAAGAGAATCACTTGAACCTATGAGGCAGACGTTGCAGTGAGCCGAGATCGTGCCACTGCACTCCAGCCTGGACGACAGAACAGGATTCCGTCTCAAAAAAAAAAAAAAAAAATTATGGTAAAATATACGTGATGTAAAGTTTACGGTTTTAACTATTTTTAAGTGTAAAGTTCAGTGGTATCAAGTACATTCACATTTTGTAGCCATCACCACCCCCCATCTCCAGAACTTTTTTATCTTCCTAAACTGACACTGTGTACCCATTAAATCATAACTCCCTATTATCCACTCCCCTCAGCCCCTACAACCACCATTCTACTTCCTGTCTCTGTGTATCTGATTATTCTAGGTACCTCATATAATTGGGATCATACACCATTTATACTTTGTGCTTTTGTGGTTAGCCCCTTTCACTTAGCATAAAGTCCCCAAGGTTCATCCATGTGTACCATGTGTCAGAAATTTCCTCTTGTTTAAAGCTGGATAATATACCACTGTATGTATATGTCACATTTTGTTTATCCATTCATCCAATGATGGATATTTGGGTTACTTCCACTTTTTGTCTACAGTAAATAATGCTGCTGTGAACATGGGTGTACCAATATCTGTTTGAGTTTTCTTTTCAATTCCTTGGGGTATATACCCAGAAGTGAAATTGCTGGATCATATGGTAATTCTGTTTAGGTGCAATGGTTATTTTAATATTGTATCTTGCTCCCCTTATATTTAATTTGAAATCTGAGCATGTATCACTGTACTGTACTCTCTTATTGCCTCAAGACTGTGTGCTTTATAATTTTAGATACTCTTGTAAGCACTGGAAATCCTTTCTGAAATAAAGGTGGTTAGAAGGTAATCTATAAATACCATCTATAATATGTTAACTTCACTTTTCCCGCAGTCAATAATAGATAATCTATATGTAACAATTAAATACATGGCTCAGATAAATGTACTTACAGCAAATTGAAATTTTGCATGGTTTTATATTGTGACTGTATATATGCCTGTATTGTGAAATTTAATAGCATACATATATTTATCTTTATTTATAAATTGGTTATTTTATAACTTACTATTTTCTTCTGTGCTGTGTCCTCCACTTCAGTGTTAGTTTGTCTTTCTTAACCACAGATCTGTTCTCATTGGTTTCATGTACACTACTCTTTCATGGCTTGCCTCAATAAAATCTGAATCTCTCAACATGTTTTTCAAAACTCTGTACTATTGGGCCCCAACATCTTTTCCAAGCTGTTACTCCCCCAAATTCCCAGGCACATGATCCACGCTGACTCTAGATGACTTACCATGCTTCTGAACGCACAACTTCTAAACATTTTGTACCAACATACACTTTCATTCCCTGTGGCAAGTTCTTGCACCTCCTCCTCTTTAATTGTGTCTCCTCAGCAAAGATTTGCCCTCTCACTCAAAATTAATCATGCTGCCTATTCACTAAGCACTTTGTTAGTCACTTTTTTCCTTTTATTTATTTATTTTTGAGATGGAGTCTCACTGTGTCACCCAGGCTGGAGTTCAGTGGAATGATCTTGGCTCACTGCAAACTCCGCCTCCCAGGTTCAAGTGATTCTCCTGCCTCAGCCTCCTGAGTATCTGGGATCACAGGCATGTGCCACCACATCCATTTTTTTTTGTTGTTATTTGTTTGTTTGTTTTTGAGTAAAGACGGGGTTTCACCATGTTAGGCTGGTCTCAAAGTCCTGACCTCATGATCCACCCATCCCGGCCTCTCAAAGTTCTGGGATTACAGGCGTGAGCCACCACGCCTGGCCTATTAGTAACTTTTCAAAGGAACTAACCCTATTTTTCTTTGAGTGAGTTGTTATTTACAAACAGGCTGGGTGGGTTCCCTGGTCTGTAGTAAACATCTTTAAATCGAGGATCACATCTTCCTCTCTGATTTTTCTACATTCTAGCATCATGTAAACAAATCTTCCTATTATTCTAAATGTTTTTCAATAAATCACTATGCTGCATGCACATGGACCTATAAATTTTACAAAGCATCTTTAATAGAAGTGTTTGGCTGGGCACGGTGGCTCACACCTGCAATCCCAGCACTTTGGGAGGTTAAGGTGGGTGGATCACAAGGTCAAGAGATGAAGACCATCCTGGCCAACATGATGAAACCCATCTCTACTAAAAATGCAAAAATTAGCTTGGTGTGATGGTGGCCTGCGTCTGTAATCCCAGCTACTCAGGAAGCTGATGCAGGAGAATCCCTTGAACCCAGGAGGTGGAGGTTGCAGTGAGCCGAGATTGCACCACTGCACTCCAGCCTGGCAACAGAGCAAGACTCTGTCTCAAAAATAAATAAATAAATAAAAATAAAAAATAAAAGTGTACACATAGACAGAAGCCCTGCAAAAAATATTTGCCTGGTGATCTGTACACCCTAGCAGTAGCCCTAGAACTGGGATTTTGGTGGAAGAGAGGGCTCTTAGGGAGAATTATTAGATGAAGATTGTCAGAGAAAAACATTTGGAAGCTCAGGTGGAATTTTTTTGATACAGAGTCTCACTCTTTCACTCAGGCTGGAGCGCAGTGGCATGATCTCAGCTCACTGCAACTTCCGCCTCTCAGGTTCAAGAGTCTCTTGCCTCAGCCTACAGAGTAGCTGGGATTACAGGCATGTGCCACCGTGCCTGGCTAATTCTTGCATATTTGGTAGAGACAGGCTTTTACCGTGTTGGTCTCGAACACCTGATCTCAGGTGATCCCTCTGCCTCGGTCTCCCAAAATGCGGGGATTATAGGTGTGAGCTTCCGTGCCCGGCCACAGGTGAAAATTCTAAGGAGAAGATCTACACTCAAAATATCCAAGAAAAATGGGCAAAGAGAAATCAATATTTTGCTCTCACGTTTCTCTGAGCTTCATTCATAAAAGACTAAAACCAAAATGGAATTAAAATAAGTTTTCTGCTTTGAACTTAACATTGGGATTTAAGAGGTTTTTATTTTTGTTAATACGTATATAACATTTTTTAGTTGTCTGTGTATGGTAATAGTTCTTCCTCAAAATACTCTTTCTCAGAGTGCTCTTCCTTGACTCTACCACTTTAAATGCTCTCTCTCATATTTGCAGTCTGTTTATTATTTGTCCCACATACTAGAATGTGAGCTCTGTTAAGACAAGGAGTTTGCCTTATCCATAGATGTTTCCCTGGGCCTAGAACTTTGAGGGCACTTAGTATTTGTTAAATTAATATTTAAATCAATGAGCTAAGAAATATTGGAAACATCCTAAGTTCCTATCAAATAGTTAGGGTACCATTTTCGTACTGTGTACTCATTAAAAAAAACCAAAGTTGAATTCTCTATACTGAAACAAACAACTGTTTGTGATAAGTTGCTAAGCAAGTTACAGAATATAATATATTGTATGAACCTACCTAATGTGACACATGAAGTAAGAATATAATGTATTCGTCATGAATATGCATCAGAAAAAGACTGAAAGACTATGCATTGACAGCATGGCCTCTGGGAAATGGGATTGCTGGGGATAGGCTTCTATGTTTTACTTTCCATGTTTCTCTTTTGAATTTTTATAACCATACTTTAAAAATAATACATTTTACTCATAAAGTTCTTAATTATAAGGCAAGAAATTAAAAGAATATTATGAACAAAAATTATTGCCAGTGACTAAGAAAAAAAATTCAAAACAATAGCATTGTGCTCAATGTCACACATAAAAATGGCTAAGTTTCAGTTGATAAACCAGCACTCCTGCTTTCAAAGAAACCAGAGTTGAGAAAATCCTCCAATTGATTTAATATCTGCCAGATCTAGCTGTTACTATCCACATCCTTGGTTTTTGAAGGACACTCACAGAGGCAGAGATTACAAATCAAAACGTTTTATGTAGTTTTATTTTATAACTAAAGCATAATGACATTTATTTTTAGTGAATTGTTTTTGTTAGTGACTTTTAAAAAATCATTTGTTTTTAATAAAAAGAGGATAGTCAATGCAAAAGCATTCTATAATACATATGAAGAACATACACAACAAAATTAGTCTTGATGTAGTGGGAGTCAGATTATTCTTTCTATTAAAAAAAATCTTTCTTCCCTTCCTTCTCTTGGATCCATTGTTTGTTATGTAATATCTAGTACAGTTCATTTTCCTGTGTTAGCTTTAATTTTTGAACCTAAAATTGTCTAAATATCTCTGGGACCAAGGATATATGAGAGCATAAACTACAAAAAAAGAGGTTATGATGGGGTTAGAACTTAAAATTCTGGGATTTAAATAGAGTTGGTCACCTTTTGTCATGTATCTTACAAGATTATAAAAATGGAGGAAATATAGGGGTCAACTTTTGGTGGACTTACGAGTTATACAGAAGATAGAATCAGTAACAAAGTCCAGAAGAGAGTTGCATCGTTTTGGGTTGATGAAAAAGGAAGAGACTAGGGAAGTCTTTCAAATGCTGAATTTTAAAGAAGTAAGCTGTCTGCCCAGGTTGAGATAAAGCTGCCTGCTGAAGCTTGATCTCTTATCTGTCACTCACTCTGTGTTCTTGTTGACATTCTGTGGCGTGGCTACAGCTCGGAATGCTACTTGGAGAACAGTCTTAAACCTTCCCTGTGTAAACAAGTTATCTTTGTAGTTACTTTTAGGGAGGTAGCTTCTCTTCACCTTTGAATGGAAAAATAAAATAAAACATCGTAAAGAAAAGCTTTTAAGTATGTTTATGTAAGCATAGAAGTTTTTAAGAAGCATGAAAGGAAAAACAGACCTAACTATTAAAAAGTATGTTAATATTCTTGAGAAACAGAGAAACAGGTAATTAGTCTGGCTCATTTGACTGGTGCTAGTGCCAAACCAATGTTTTAAATATTAACAGGACTGGAAAAAAAATGTAAACTAAAGCTTTGAAGCATTGATTCTAAACTTAGATTCGTATCATTATCACCCATACATCTCTGGCTGGAGCTTATTTACTCATTTCATTTTGACTTTGTGGCCAATCACTCCTTTAAATTGAATATTCTGCATACGATTTACAATCGCTAAGAAACGTTCAGGAAGGAACCTGTACAGAAAAGAAAAAGAAATTGAAAATTTTTCAGTTTAAAATATTTGACAAGAGTTCTTTTTTTTTTGGATCAGTTACAATACCCTGAGAGTTATCTGGTTTGCACTGAATTTTCCTCCGTTCTTCTTTTCTTTCTTTGCAACCACCTATCCTTTATGTGTACATCTTTCTTTCTTTTCTTTTTCCTTTTTTTTTTGACATGGTTTCACAGTGGACTGTATTAGGAAAAGTGTCAAAATATTAAAATTCATAAAATTTAAATGGAACAGTAAAATTATGCCTTGTAGCTATAGTCGTTGCTATAGTAATGACAAGTAAGGTAAAGTCTAAATTATTGCCTAAGCACGGAGGTTGCGGTGAGCTGAGATCACGCCATTGCACTCCAGCCTGGGCGACAAGAGTGAAACTCTTTCTCAAAAATAATTAAATAAATAAATAATAAAAACTGAAAATAAATAAATAAATTATTGCCTAAACATACACTATTTTGTCAGACTTCTGCTGCAAGCCCAAAGCAGAAAACATTGCAATTATTAGAAGTCAGCCCAATGACGAATCTGCATTTGAAGCTGGAAGAAAGGGGAAAAAAAATGTGTTCTGATTACAGCATCGAGACATTCTAGCCTGCAAAAAAGTAACTTTATTAACATCCTGCAGCAGAGTACATTAGTAATTGTAATCATGCATCAAAATTCTCATTGCATGTCCTGAAGAGAGTGATCAGTCTTCTTCATGATTTATGTTTTACTGAGTTTCATGTGGTTCATCCCTCTGAAGATGTTTTTGGGAATATTCCCTCACCAGGGAGTGTAGCCTAAGATACCCAGGTTGCTTACCACGGCTCATCTTTGGTCATTTAAAATCAGTCAATCTATCTGAACCTATGTGTGCACCTTTGTAATATTCACAGTTCAAATTGTATGCAGATATAAAGAAAGCACTGATATATACCATTCTTCTCACTGTCTTATCCTACATAAGTAAAGATCTAAAACTGAATGTCTGAGCTCATCGCTAAAACTGCTGATTAATCTTGATGCTAAAAGCTCACCTAGAGACACCACCAGAATCCATTCCATCCAACCCTCCACCTCTCCTTTTCTACTTACTGAATATCTATTATGCACTCTATAATAAGGTAAACTGAAGTACTTAAAAAATACCTACTGTCTTTGAGGAATTTATTGTTTAGCTGAGAGGCTAAGATGGCCATCTTAAAACAATTATTCAAAAATATCAGCCATCTAGAATTAAGGGCTATAACTGGAAGGAGGATTCATATAGGCTGGGATAGTAGAGGAAAGCTTCTAAAGGACAGCTGATGTCTGGGAATGCCTAAGAGTTGAGTAGGCACATGAAAGGAAGAGAGTGGCCGGACATAGTGGCTCACACCTGTAATCCCAGCACTTTGGGAGGGGGGAAGCGGGTGGATCACGAGGTCAGGAGTTCAAGACTAGCCTGGCCAACGTGGTGAAACCCCATTTTTACTAAAAATACAAAAAATTTAGCTAGGCATGATGGCACATGCCTGTAATCTCAGCTACTCAGGCGCCTGAGGCAGGAGAATCGCTTGAACCCGGGAGGCAGAGGTTGCTGTGAGCCAAGATTGTGCCATTGTACTCTAGCCTGGGTGACAGAGCAATATTCTGTCTTTAAAGAAAAAAAAAAAAAGAAAAAGAAGAAGAAAGGAAGAGAGTATGATTGAATGTTAAGAGGCAGAAATAACATATTCTGAAAAGAGAGTCATACTGAAAATTACTTTGGTATTATTGACTAATGCAGGGTCTACTTCCTTGTTTTGTGGCTAGGTGAGTGAAAGATGGGGGAATGAGCAAAGGGATAGGGCAGATATTTGCTGGGAGAAGGACAAGGATAAGAAGTGAGTTTGTGTGGGCCTTTTAACTACCTTCACAAATCAACCTTTGTGCTAGTAATTGCATCTGCTCATAAAATTGTGTCTCTCTATAAAAGGAATTAAATGCAAAGTAGATTGGCAATATACACCTGTTGCCTAGTTACAAATCACCATGACAGCTTCAAAGGATACAAAAGACTTTGTGACTCTTGTCTATTTTACTGGGATACTATTCTCCAACTCAGGCAGAATAATTGTGTTTATCACCTTGGTCATATGCATGTCTGCTGTGATTTTTAAATTTTTCTTTTCTTTTTTTTTTTTTTGAGATGGAGTTTCGCTCTTGTTGCCCAGGCTCGAGTGCAATGGTACAATTTCAGCTCACTGCAACCTCTGCCTCCCTGGTTCAAACAATTATTCTGCCTCAGCCTCCTGAGTAGCTGGGATTACAGGCGCCTGCACCACACCTAGCTAAGGTTTTTTTGTACTTTTAGTAGACGTGGGGTTTCACCACGCTGGCCAGGCTGGTCTTGAATTCCTGACCCCAAGTGATCTGCACGCCTCGGCCTCCCAAAGTGCTGGGATTACAGGCGTGAGCCATCACACCTGGCCAATTTTAAAAATTTTCAATATTAATATGACTTGCTTTGGGCCCCAAGAGAGTAGGGGTTCCATGAAACTCCCTACAGTGCTTAGTAACAAGACACTAATTGAGTCAACTATTTTTTTCCCTGAGACAGAGGCTTGCTCTGTCACTAAGGCTGGAGTGCAGTGGCACCATCTCAGCTCACTACAACCTCCGCCTCCCCGGTTGAAGAGATTCTCCTGCTTCAGCCTCCTGAGTGCCTGGGATTACAGATGCAGGCAACTACGCCTGCTAATTTTTGTGTTTTTAGTAGAGATGGGGTTTCACCATGTTGGCCAGGCTGGTCTCGAACTCCTGACCTCAAGTGATTTGCCCACCTTGGCCTCCGAAAGAGCTGAGACTACAGGCATGAGCCACCACACCCCGCCTAGTCGACTCTTGAGATGATGTTGCTTGGGGGTCAAGGTTCTCCTATGATATCTCAAGTTAGTCTATTTAAGCTAAAACAAAATATTGAAATTGATACACCAATGCAGTTTGCACGCTGTTCTCAAATTGTTCTATTTCAAGTTTGTTCATAGTTTATATGGATTTGTTTCAAAAAGGTCCAAGGGCTTATGAAGTTAGTATAGTTATCTTCTCACTGATACAATTTCAATCTATAAACTGTTCCTCAGAAGAAAGCTGAGAGATGATTTCCTCTGGGAAACTGTTGCTATTGCTACTTCACATAAATTCTGTTCTCCAAAGCTTCAACATTTGAAGTCTATACCTTTTCAGTGATGGGGGCTTTGTTTGTATTACATTATTTTATTCTTACAGCATCCTTATAAAGGAGATACTATCACCACCTTCATTTGGTCAGGTGCAGTGGCTCATGCCTGTAATCCCAGCACTTTGGGAGGCCAAGGCAGGAGAATTGCTTAAGGCCAGTCATTCAAAACCTTTGTTGCCTGGGCAACAAAGTGAGACTGTCCCTACTAAATAAATAAAGTAATGAGACATTCTAAAGACATTGAAAGGATAATAAGGGACTGTTATGTACAAATTGATGCCAAAGAAATTCTACAACCTGAATAAAATGGATAAATTTCTTGAAAGACACATATTACAAGAATTAATAAGTAACTTGAATAGCCATGTAGCTACTAAAGGAATTAAATTTGTATTTAAAACTTTCCCATAAAGAAAATTAGAGGCCTAGGGATCTACAAAAAGAAAAAAAAAAGTTTAGCAAGTTTAGCAAACAAAAAGTCTAGCAATTTAGCAAGATTGTAAAATAGAAGATGAACTTACAAAAATCTAATATATACTGACAACAAACAATGGGAAATATACATATATACGTATATTTTTTGAGACGGAGTCTTGCTCTGTCACCCAGGCTGGAGTGCAATGACATGATCTCAGTTCATGGCAGCCTCCACCTCCCAGGTTCAAGCAATTCTCCTGCCTCAGCATCCCGAGTAGCTGGGACTACGTGAGCCACCACACCCAGCTAATTTTTGTATTTTTTAGTAGAGACAGGGTTTTACCATATTGGTCAGGATGGTCTTGATCTCCTGACCTTGTGATCCGTCTGCCTCAGCCTCCCAAAGTGCTAGGATCACAGGCATGAGCCACTGTGCCCAGCTGGGAAATATAAAGCATTTTTCAATGCCATTTGCATTAGCGTCAAAAACTATGAAATAGGGTTCGGCATGGTGGCTCATGTTTGTAATCCCAGCACTTTGGGAGGCCGAGATGGATGGATCACCTGAGGTCAGAAGTTCGAGACCAGTCTGGCCAACATGGTGAAACCCCGTCTCTACTAAAAATACAAAAAATTAGTTGGGCGTGGAGGTGGGCACCTGTAATCCCAGCTACTAGGGAGGCTGAGACATGAGAATTGCTTGAACCTGGGAAGCAGAGGTTGCAGTGGGCTGAGATCACAGGCACTCCAGCCTGGGCAACAAGAGTGAATCTCAGTTTCAAAAAAAAAAACCCAAAAAACAAAAATAAAAACCATGAAATACTTTGGAATAAATCTGGCAAAATATGTGCAACACTGAAACACCAAAAATTACATAATACAATTTGAAGATTTAAAGAGTTTGAAGAAGACTGAAAAAATAGATATTATGTTCTTGGATTAGAAAACTCAATATTGTTGATACATCAATTCTCCCCAGTTGATCTACAGATTCAGTGCAATCCCAACCAGACTTCCAGCAGGCTTTTAAAAATGGAGTCTTGATTATTAACTACTTCACTATATTGCATTCTTTTAAACTGTCTTTCCTTAGGTAGAATAGTCTTCAGCAAAGTGTGGGGAGAGACAGTAGATTTGGTAGAGAAAATGAATCATTCTCTTCTTATAGACTGGGTTGGAAAATAACAGAGGAAACTTAACTGTTCTCCCCAGGGACAGAGAGTTTCCATGCCAATTCTCACAGCTGAAAGATTCTCCATAATAAGCTTTATTGGGCAGAGCACAGTGGCTCATGCCTGTAATCTCAGGACTTTGGGAGGCCGAGGCAGGAGGATCACTTGAAGTCAGGAGTTTGAGTCCATCCTGGCCAACATGGTGAAACCCCGTCTCTACCAAAAAATACAAAAATCATCTGGGCGTGGTGTGGTAGCACACACCTGTAGTCCCAGTTACTTGGGGGTCTGAGGCACGAGAATTGCTTGAACCCGGGAGGTGGAGGTTGCAGTGAGCCAAGATCATGCCACTGCAATCCAGCCTGGGTGACAGAGTGACCATTCTGTCTCAAAATAAATAAATAAACAAATAACAGCTGTACTGGCGTTTTAGTATTTAAGTGTTCTGTACTGTACTTACTTCTGTAGCATCAGAAAGATATTGAGATATGATGGAACAAAAATCATTTTCTTATTGGTAAGTATTCCATCTATCAGACTTTTTGCAACTTCATCTGTTTCCAACACAGGCTATAATCTGTGATTAAAAAGAGAAAAAGTTTCTTTTTATTTTTCAAAATTTTAATTTTATGAATAAACGATAGCAGGAAAATTATCCTATAGAGTTACTAAATATAGAATGAAGATTAAAAATATTCCAAGATTTGCTACATGAATGCCATCCTACCCACTTTCCTCACATTCCATATTGATGTTTTGTTATCACACACTTTCATATGCTTTCATATCCATTAGGTGTGTTTCATAGCTCACTTAGTCAAAATATCAAAATTAGATGGTAAGGAGTAGAGGAGCCAGGCAAGAAAGAGGAATGGCTAGGATTAATCATGGGTCAGGAAGGACACATCTGACATCTCAAAGCCTGTTCGATGCAAGGAGAAAATTCTATAGCTAAGTATACTTTCTTTCTTGTGGAGGTATTCCATAAAGCTGAATTGTTTTGAGGTCATTTTGTCAGAGGCTTTTAAATCAGAGCAACTCTGTCCTGAATAGGGTCTGGGTAAAATAAGACTGACACCTACTGGGCTGCATTCCCAGGAAGCTAAGGCATTCTTTGTCACAGGATGAGACAGAAGGTTGGCACAAGATTCAGGTCATAAAGACCTTGCTGATAAAATAGGGTGCAGTAAAGAAGCCAGCCCAAATCCACCAAAATCAAGAGAGTGATGAAAGTGACCTCTGGTCATCTCCACTGCTCATTACAAGCTAACACTAACGATAATACATTAGTATGCTAAGAGACACTTCTGTGGGCACCATCACAGTTTACAAATGCCATGGTAATGGCAGGAAGTTACCCTCTATGGTCTAAAAAGGAGAGGAAACTTCAGTTCTGAGAATTGCCCACCCCTTTCCCGGAAATCTCATGAATAATCTACCCCTTGTTTATCATATAATCAAGAAGTAACTCTAAGTATCCTTGATGGAGAAGCTCAAGCCATTCTTCTGCCATGGAGTGGCCATTCTCTACTCCTTTACTTTCTTAATAGACTTGCTTTTGCTTTGCATTGTGGACTTGCCCCGAATTCTTTCTTGTGAGAAATCTAAGAACCCTCTCTTTAGGTCTGGATTGGAACCTTATTCCGCTAAGAATTTCGTATTTGAGAATCACCTCTGATTTGCCTATCTTGCAGTTTAATGAGAACTTAAGAGGGGCTCAAGGAGTATGACAACTAGACACATGACCTTCCTTATACTGTAGGCTGTGTACATGTATTCTTGAGAAACAGTCACAAACCTAGGCCTAATGTAGAATTGCCTATTAGTGCAAGATGATGACAGAAAATTAAAACATAAATGGTTTTAAAGTGTTATATTCAAATTAAGATGTCTAGGCATGGACTGAACAGCCAGTGAATATAAAGGTTGGGCAGAGGAGTTAAGGAACCAGCGAATGTTAAAACTTCATTCCCTGGGGTGACCTGTGGTTTACTGCAGATTAGCATGTGATTGAGGTCTCCACTGCATTGAACAGCAAGCCAGCAGAGAGTAATACAAATCAATACCTTTCTAAATTACTTGGTTCTGCCCATTCTCTCCCTCATTTCAACTACATGGATCAAACAACCCAGCCTCTGAGCCAAGCGTGACATTACATATCAATGCCTTAGCCCTTACTAAGGAAATTCACAATCCTGCAACCTCAATAAAATCAATCCCAAATCTTTAGCATTGTCTATTTTTGTCCCTAAGTTAGCCCCAGGAGCCCTGTTGCCCAGGGTTCCGTTATCCTTACTCTCCTGATCCATTATGCCTTCCTTAAGAGGCAGGATACCCTTAGGAAAACTCATTGTACACTAAGCCTGAATGCCTATCAAGAGAGTTTTTATTGGGCCCAAATCCTTGTCTAAGAAAACAGGAGTTGCAATAGTACTATAGTATTTACTTACATATCACATACTTATTAAGTACCGTGAGACAACGTAGCAAAGGTAAGAAGCCACATTTTCTCACTTCTGCTTGTCAGCGTAATTTCACAAAGTCTCTGACTCTGTGACAATGTGCAGCTCTCTAGAAAGATGCTTTGAAGACAAAACAGGATAGAGCACATGGCCCCCACTGCCAGAGGAGTCCAGCTGAACCTCTCTAAAGGGCTGCTCTCAGGCTATAGGTCTTCATCTGTAGTCCTTGGTAAGGCTTATAAATAAAACTAACAGCTTTAACTCTTTAAAAACTTAAATTTTTTGGCCAGGCACGGTGGCTCAAGCCTGTAATCCCAGCATTTTGGGAGGCCGAGGCAAACAGATCACCTGAGGTCAAGATTTTGAGACCAGCCTGACCAATATGGCAAAACCCCATCTCTACTAAAAAGGCAAAAATTAGCCAGGTGTGGTGGCAGGCACCTGTAATCCCAGCTACTCAGGAGGCTGAGGCAGGAGAATTGCTTGAACCTGGGAGGTGGAGATTGCGGTGAGCTGAGACTGCGCCACTGCACTCCAGCCTGGGTGACAGGGTGAGACTCCAACTCAAACAAAAACAAAAAAAAAACAAACATTTTTTTTTCTTTAGTTGACAGTACCTATGGTCTATTACCATGAAGGACTCCAGTGGCAGGAAGTGACTCCAGCTGCAGAGACCACACAGGTAACTCAGGCTGTAAGAGTCAGTAGCCTCAACGGAAGCAGCACTCATCAGAGAATTGTTTAGTTCTTTCGAATGAATATATTTAGGACTAATTCCCTTCCAGCCAAAAATTGGTTTTGAATCATTAAGCTTAGTATATTTTGTTACCCTGCAGCGGAACATATACTAGGATTGTGGAAAATTTGTGAAACAGATGGATTAATTTTCGGGTCCTTATCCTCACCTTCCTGCTTTTTTCTTCCCCTTTCAGGACTAATTTCCCTTCTTTTATGGTCTCAAATCCTCTCTCACCAGAGACAAGAGTTCTTGCAGAAATTCACCTTGACTAAGAAGCTAGAGACTCATTTGCTGCTCCTTGGAACATTTGCATTTTAAAGACAGGGTGGTGACAGCGATCAAACGTATGTAGAGGTTGTTTGTGTCTGTGTGTGTGTGTGTGTGTGTGTGTGTGTGTGTGTGTGTGTGTGTATTCAGAGACAGAGGTCTCACTATGGTGCCCTGGATGGAGTACAGTGGCTATTCACAGGTGCAATTACAGTGCATTACAGCATCGAACTCCTGGGCTCAAGCCATCCCCTTGCCTGAACCTCCCGAATCTCTAGGACTATAAGCATGCACTCTGGTTATACAGACCACATCAAAATTTTCCAACTCTGTCTCTAGCCTCATCTGGTATGCTTGTAAAACAAAACAAAACAAAAGAAAACAAAACAAAACTCCTAATTCTTGGAGCTAATCCTAGTCTACTGAATCAGAATTTCTAAGGACGAGCCTATGAACTTTATTTTTTAAGTAAGCATAAGCAATAATTCTTGGGATGAGACAGGCTTGGAAAATGTTTGGGTGCCTTATGTTAACATTGTGGTCAGTGATGTAGAAGACATACAAAAGGCATAAGTGTGATATTGTGCTGGCCTGGAGCCAGAATCTGAGCAACGCTATTTTTATAAAATGCAAAACTGTTTTTAAATAAGTTGCAATGGCTGCCCCATTCTCCTCACAATAACTACTGTTCTTGGCTGCTGTAAATAGAACTGCTAGTTTGTTCTGCAAAACTATGTAAAGCTGCTTACCTTTTCTTATCAGTAACTGCTAAAATCTGTGACTTCTATCACCACCCAGACAATGTGTAAACAAATGTATATCTTGACTTCTGTAAACCACTGAAGTAACAAACAGAATGACAAAAGTCCCCTAGACCTTGGAATGTCCAGAGACCCCCGCCCTTGTCTCCGCCCAGGAGGTGAATCACAGAATCCCCTAGCCCTTGGAATGTCTGAAACCTTTTCATCCCCATCCCCACTCTTCACCCCCACTCCCAAGGTGGTTTTTCAGGTATAAAAAGTCTTGGCACGCTCCTTTTGACGCCACAGGTTGGAGAGACGTGAGTCCTCTGTGGTCGCCGGCATACTAAATGACCCTGCAATCTGGTATACTTTTGTCTTGGTGCTAACTTTCTACGCTCGGTCAAATACAACATAAGTACCTATACCTTTCCATGCTCTATTTGAAGAGGATGAACCATGAACAGAAGGAGGGAATATTAGGTATCGTTCATTTTGTGGGTGTGGTTTCCAGGAGAGGAGACTTTCACCATTCCCTTAAGCACACCTCTCTGGCCCCCCTTGCCCCATTCCCACTTTCCACTTACTTTTGGCACCTGAGTGTGTGTTGAGCTTTTTCCTGGACACAAATAAATACCCCAGTTCATTGGGAGCAGATATTCCTGCTAGTCCCTAATGTGTTTTTCCCCTTTATTCCTTTAATTTCAAGATAATAATATTAATTAGAAAAATATTTTTCCTTTTTCATTTTTTTCTATTAGTTGGTCTGCCTAAACATTTCTCATTAGTTTTCATATCAATTTATCATGCCACAGTCCCATTTTAACTTGATTTTGACCTTACCTTGTGCTTGGATTTTTGGTGAACCCAGTATTCACAAAAACTGGGCAGAGACATGTGATTTTGATACCAGTTTTCAAGTTCTGATTCCAGACCTCTGTGAAAGCCAACAGCAGCAAATTTGCTGGAACTGTAAGAGAATGATCAAGCGTTGTTAGCTACGGGACAGTGAAACCAACCTCAGCTTTCTGTGAGAAGGCAGTATCACCTGAGTGAAGAACAAGTAGAAGCCAAACCCCTGAAATCATCCACTTGTGATTTTTCTGAGAGCATAAATGGCAATTCATTTTCATTTCCTTACATGATTAAGCAGAATTGTGAATATATCTAATTTCTTAAACAACAATGATGGCAAAAGAACAAAAATACCTCCATTGGCTTAATGTTCAGTTTTCCATCCTACATGTAAAGTTTTTCCATTGAATCTGTTTTTATTCCTGCTTTTATTTTGAAAAATATGAATGAGGAAAATCATATTTAGCAATTCTACAAAACTAATATCTATGTTGACAAACTTCTGTAGGACTCTGCTCATTTCTCCTCTCTCGCTCGATAACTGGGTTGATAGTTTTTCTCTTGACAATGGTTACCATTTTGGCCTCTTAATTTTATTATGAGAATCTGGAGAAGAGTTTACAGGAAAGGATATTGGCAAATACGGTAGTATATCCTAGGACCTCCCACCTCCTTCCCTTTATGTCTTTGGTGGTGCATGGAGTGTGGTATCTGAAACTTTTATTCAGTTAGAGTTGTTTCTCTCTCTCTTTCTCTCTGCCTCTTTCTCTCTCTCTCTCTCTCTCTCTCTCTCACACACACACACACACACACACACACACACACACGCTTTCACAGCACCAGCACACTGGAAAAAGTCTTGATCCAGGGACCACTCTGATTGTCTTATCTTGGGCACAAGGCCATGACATAGATATGAGTTCATTTTAGCTTCTGTACGTTTTGCTTCTTGGTCTGTGGGGTTTCAGCTTCTTTCTCTTTCTCTTTTCTTTTCTTTCTCTCTTTCTTTCTTTCTTTTCCTTCTCTCTCTTTCTTTTCTCTCTTTTTCTTTCTTTTTCTCTTTCTTTTTCTCCTTCTTTCCCCCCTCCCTCCCTCCCTTCCTTCTCTTTCTTTTTTATTTTTTCCTTCCTTCCTTCCTTAGACGGAATTTTGCTCTTGGCTGAAGTGCAATGGTGCCATCTTGGCTCGTGGCAACCTCCACCTCCCGGGTTCAAGCAATTCTCCTGCCTCAACTTCCAAGTAGCTGGGATTATAGGCATGCACCAACGTGCCTGGCTAATTTTGTATTTTTAGTGGAGATGGGTTTCTCCATGTTGATCAGGCTGGTCTCGAACTCCTGACCTCAAGTGATCTGCCTGCCTTGGCCTCCCAAAGTGCTGGGATTACAGGCTTCAGCTACCTTGCCCAGCTGGTTTCTGTTTCTTATTCCAAGAAACAATGGAAACATGCTTGGCATTACTGTTTTCTCTTGTCGTTCTACAGAGGAGTTTGCAGAAATCTAAAAACATTTAAAATATAATTACAGCACAGTTTCATTGTTTTAGAAAAAGTCATTTAAAAAATTCATTCTAAACTACTGTAAATTTAAATTTTGTAAATCCAAATCACTCTGCTCTGAGCATTGCAATCTTGAGGCAGGAGAATAGGGCCTGGAGGCAGGGAACATAAGGCCGATTCATGCTCACTTCCTAGAACTAAATCAAATGGAAACACTTCAGCTATGACAGGAAATATCCTCTCCATGAACATAGGGTGTACACTGAGAAAATGACTTTGTAACTTTACTTCATCCTCTTCATTTACATAGGGCATACACCAAGCAAACAATGGAAACCTCTAAAGGGTATTTAAACCTCAGAAAATTCTGTAATGGAGCTGTTGAGCCCCTGTGCTTGGGCCCACTCCCACACATGCAGCCTACTTTCATTTTCAATAAATTTCTGCTTTTGTTGTTTTATTCTTTCCTTGCTTTGTTTGTGCATTTTGTCCAATTCTTTGTTCAAGATGCCAAGAACCAGGACACCCTCCACTGGTAAAAATTTGAAGTGTAATGCTCCCTTCAAAGTACAAAACTATATAACATGGCTGGCAAGTGATACTTACCAATATGGGATGAGATAAGGAATCACTTTGTGGCCGCATACTGAAGCCACTGTGACGATGTGGCCATGATTTCTCTCCATCATCGATGGAAGAAGTGCTTTTGTGATCTTAAGGATCATTGCAGAAAGCAGAATAACAGCGATATAGGCATTAGGTTTCCAAATCAGGTAGTTTTATTTTTGTTAAGACAGAAAGGCATTTGAGAGGACTTAGACAATGAAATAAAATACTTCCCGGCATTTCATGATGAATTCCATAAAAATGATGGAAATAAAGATACAAATGTATTGGTTTCAGCTAGCATTGAGTATAGTATACCTCATGCCAACACTGATATCAGTATTCCCCCTCCTTCCCTTCAGAAGGAATCAAATAGATCCTTTTTTGGATATGTCATCTAAACAATATTAAGGGGAAAATTCAGAGTGTTCAGAACTAAAATAATTCCTTATGATAATTTGGTGTCATGTAATTTTTTGGCTTGAGGCTTTATTATTCTAATTAAAAGAGTGAAATCTTGTGTAACTGTATTTACAGTTGAGTAGTGTAAGCTGAGAGTTCTATGCAACACTTATGCATCATGACTGAATTCACTATCTCCCTATTTGTAATATTGTATATTATATATTGATGTTACAGAAAACAAGTCTTTCTTTTTTACCAAAAACCTCTTTTGTAAGAAATATCAGTGAAATTTTATAATAATTTAATATATCCTACACAAATTCGTAGAACTAGAACTACCAACACAAGCTATCCCCAATTTCCCAACCCACAGAAACCATGAGATGATAGTGAACATATATTGTTGCTTTAAACCACTAAGTTTTGCATAGTTTGTTATGCAGCTATCAGTAACTAACATATGAGGTCTCCATGTAGTTTGGTGGGCATGGGAGCCAATTCACATACGTGAGGAGCTGGTAAAGGTAAGGGAAGCACATCACTTTTTTTCTTCTTTCTTCCAGAATCCAGGTTTGCCCTAGATTCACACTAATATTGAGGCACTGGAAGATTAATCAAAAAATGTTCTATCCGAAGGCAGTTGTAGTTGATATTTCCATCTCCCATAAAACTAACCGGTTATATGAGGTCTGTGTGGTTCCAGCATCCCATGGATCTAGGACTTGCCTCAGAGTCTCATCCAAAATTTTCCCCAACCCTACTTATATCCTAGTAATTACTTCTGATGTCCTTTCCATTCTAAAATTCCGCAAAATAAGGACACATTACAAAATTATGGTGTGGAGGGAAAGAATGAGGTCCCAAGTGAGAGCATTGAAAAGATGTACACTGACAACATTTAACAAACCTCCGCAAACATTTGATGAGCTCCTGGTACATGCCAGGCTTTGTGTCAGATACTGGTGGACAAGGCAGACCAAGTAGCTTACATTCTGGTGTGTTGTGTCCACTTGAACTTCGTGTCCTTACGTCTGTGGCTCTACTACTCAAACAAATTTGATGATTCTTAATTAAGGCAAAGATCTGGCCAGTTTCTTGCCCAGAAGTATGTGAACTCCTTGATAAGTTTCATGTATCTTAAGAGAAGGTGCACAAATCAGAAATGTTTCTGACTCACACTCACCCAAAAATGTCCTAGGATGTTGACCTCAAATGTCTTGGTAATCTCTTCATCCTTGGTACTGAGAAGATCAGCTGGATATACTGTTCCAGCATTATTCACCACGATTATTACATCACCCACTTCTTTCTTCACCTTTTGAAATTGAAAGAACACATTCATTGGGTGTGTTATACAAAGTCAAAGTTTTGGTGCCAATACAATCCAGAGATTAGAGTCTTTCTTCTACTGGGTGAGGTCTCTGAGAGTTCAGGCAAGACAGACTGTTGAGCTCAAATAGTGGAGGCCAAGAGAACACTGTCATAAAGGTAGGATAAACTGTTCTGTTAACATCTAAATTTCAGTATCCAGCACATCATGGATTTTATAAGTGTATCAGTAAAGTGAAATTAGCATTTATGTTGATAAATTCCAATATAAGCTCTGACCAAACACTTTTAAAGTGTCCATGTTTAAAAAATGTGTTTTTCTTTAAATTTTTTTTTTTTTTTTTTTTTTTTTTTTTGTAGAGACAGTTTCTCACTATGTTTCCCAGTCTGGTCTCAAACTCTTGGTCTCTTGCAATCCTTCCACCTTGGCCTCACAAAGTGCTGGGATAACAAGTGTGAACCACTGCACCTGGTCTAAAGTGCTGGCTCAGTAATCCTGGTTTCACAACCTACTAACTACACAACTTTGGTCTGGCTTAACCTCTCTAAGTCACAATTTGTTATCTGTAAAATGAAGTTCACAGGGTTATTGTAGGGAATAAATTTAAAAATGTAGTTTGTTGGAGTGCTTAGTTCATTGTGATGATTTAATATTTACTCTTTTAAAATAATTGTGATAATTATTAATATTACATTTTCTATAAAAGACTAGATTAACACCAAAATAAAATCTCACAAGGGAAATAATTAGAGAAGACAGAATTACGCCAAGTTAATAGTACCAAAACAAAACCAAGTAGTGATCCATATTCCCTGATGACAAATCTTTTGTCAGTCAATCTGTGCCACTGCTCACACTTCTGATCACAATGAAGTTGATTAATGATATGAAATAATAATAATGGCCGGGCGCGGTGGCTCAAGCCTGTAATCCCAGCACTTTGGGAGGCCGAGGCAGGTGGATCACGAGGTCAAGAGATCGAGACCATCCTGGTCAACATGGTGAAACCTCGTCTCTACTAAAAATACAAAAAATTAGCTGGGCATGGTGGCGCGTGCCTGTAATCCCAGCTACTCAGGAGGCTGAGGCAGGAGAATTGCCTGAACCCAGGGGGTGGAGGTTGCGGTGAGCCGAGATAGTGCCATTGCACTCCAGCCTGGGTAACATGAGTGAAACTCCGTCTCAAAAAAAAAAAAAAAAGAAATAATAATAATGGACAGAGCTGAGTGGATTACATACAAGAAAAAAGGTATTTATCCTTCTTTGGTCACATAACTACTTCAGTTAGCAGCTAAAATCTAATTTAAATCAGGCAGTCATAAAGAACTTTCCCATTTTCCATGTCAGCGTCCGTGGAAACAAAATCATCTGAAGATATTTGTGAACCCGAAGTCTCACGTGATTTACAGAGCTACAGATCTCTTCTCTGTTGCCGTAGTCTACCACATACGCATGCGCAGCGACACCTAGTTTTCTGCACCCAGCTGCGGTTTCCTCCACACCATGCTGTAATTGGAAGGGACAAATTCTGAAAAAAAGTGGAGGAGAAGGCATTGGAGAAGAAAAATTTTTTAAAGATTAACATTTGGCTGGGCATGGTGGCTCACCCCTATAATCCCAGCACTTTGGGAGGTCAGGAGTTCGAGACCATCCTGGCCAACATGGTGAAACCCTGTCTCTACTAAAAATACAAAAATTAACTGGGCATGGTGGCATGGGCCTGTAACCCCAGTTATTTGGGAGGCCAAGGCAGAGAACTGCTTGAACCTGGGAGGAGGAGGTTGCAGTGAACTGAAATTGTTCCATTGCATTCCAGCCTGGGTAACAAAGCTAGACTCTGTCTCAAAAAAAAAAATAAAAAAAAATTAACATTCATGTTCAAAAGAAATTAACAATCTTTTAAAAATTGGCCTCCTGGGCTGGACATGGTGTAATCCTGTAATCCAGCACTTTGGGAGGCCAAGGCAGGTGCATCACTTAAGGTCAGGAGTTTGAGACCAGCCTGGCCAACATGATGAAACCCTGTCTCTGCTAAAAATACAGAAAATTAGCCAGGCGTGGTGGCAGGCACCTGTAATCCCAGCTACTTGGGAAACATAGAGAGGAGAATCACTTGAACCTGAAAGGCAGAGGTTGTAGTGAGCCAGGATCATGCCATTGAACTCCAGCCTGGGCAACAGAGTGGGACTTTGTCTCAAAAATAAATAAATAAAATAAAATAAAAATTGGCCTCCTCATTTGTTAGAAAAATTCTTGAGAGAGACTGATTGCCTAGTTGCAATGACATTACGTTTGGCTTTTCCGTCAGGGAATGTTCGTATTAAAACCAAAGCAAACAAAACAAAATGAAATCCCTTCGTGTTTTTCCAGCTTTCCATCTTGGTTGGAGGCCGCACAGTAGGCAGTTTTTCTAAAGCAGGCTGCTTTCAAAGCCTGAAGAACATCTTGGAAAACCTTGCTCTTCATGGTGTCATGGAAAATAAATATGGAGAAGAAGAAACTCAATGATTAATCTATCATACATTTGTTGAGCACAACTATGTAATAGACAGTAAAGTGCTAAGCAGCAATTCTAAACTAGTGGTAATGGTAAACTATATGCCTCTGCCCATCATACTTTTCTCGATGATTCTGACTCATCCTTCTAGAGGGAAGGGGAAAGAAGGCTCCTTATTGAACAAGGACTGTCACAGGGAGACCATGCTGCTACTATAGGAGATATAATATTACATTCTTCAGGTGTTTGGGAGTGAGATGGCCAAGGGCCACTGGATGGATTTCTCATTTATGTACCAGCCTTGCACATAATCACTGGACATGGAGACAGAGCAACTTACTTTCAGTCTAAATTCAAAGACTTCTTTCTAAGAAGCCCAATGTTTCTTGACTCACATTTCTGGAAAATTAGAATTCTTTTCAAATTTTGACATCAGGTGACTTTCATAGAGAAGAGTATAAGGTTTTAAAAATCATACTTTTCCATGTCACAATCTGTAAACTCTTCTCAGTGGTGAAGAAGCAAGGATACCTGAAAAGCCCCTTTCTTTGCATATTGGGATGACAGTGGTGTGACTGCTACTTAGGGCAATCCTCCAGTGAGTGTCTCTGGGTCCTTTGTATTTCACTACTGTAGGCTAATCCCTGGGGCAGCAGCCTGAAATCCCCAAACATAGATGTTAGGACCCAGTCCCAAAGGCAGTATCCCCTCAATTAGCCTTTTGTGGGACTACAGAAGAGTAAAAACAGGAGGAGAGTCTTTCCCTGACTTAGGCTGCAGCTGGTAGCTTGCTCACTGCCAGACTGCCCAAACTACAACATACTGTATTATTTGTTTCTAGGTTAGTAGAGAGCATCAGTAACCAGAGCATTCATCAGATGTTTTGATTGAATAATTAATAATTCTTCCGTTTTGTAACTGAGCTAGACAATTGCAAAATGTAATGCCTTGTCTTTTCGTTAGCAAAACACTTGCTTTAGCTTAAACGCCAGTGTGTTTTTTGAACTGCTTTCCCAAAGCGTTTAGATTGCATAAGAGCCAAACTGCTACAGTGTCTCTCATCTCACAGGGCAAAAGGAGACAGTTATGGGAAAAACTCACATAGCATCTTCCTCAGCAAAGGAGATATGAATTACATTACAGCCGTGGGGTGGATCATTCAGTAACGTAAGTGTTTAACCATAAAATTTAATAATTCAAAGAGAATTTTTGAGGTTGGGTTACCCATTCTTCTTAAGTCCTTTTTTTTTTTTTTTTGAGATAGGGCCTGGCTCTATCGCCCAGATTGGAGTGCAGTGGTGCCATCATATCTCACTGCAACCTCGGCTTCCTGAACTGAAACGATCCTCCCACTCAGCCTCCCGAGTAGCTGGGACTACAGGTGCGCACCAACATACTCAGCTAATTTTTGTATTTTTTGTAGAGACAGGGTTTTTGCTATGTTGCCCTGGCTTGTCTCAAACTCCTGGGCTCCAGCAATCTGCCCACCTTGGTCTCCCAAAGTGCTGGGATTACAGGGGTGAGCCCCTGGCCCTGGCCTTGTCATTTTTAATACAACTTCCTTCTAATTTACTTTTCTCTTGTCACTGGAAATTTTAAAATTAAAAAAAAAAAACTTAATAAACATAGTTCTTTCCCCAAAAATATATATCTGGAAAGAGAGTCGAAGGTTGGATTTCATCAAACCCTTTTCATGGATTTATACTTATTTATATTTTTGGACAAATGCCTAAGAACAGCAGGCAACAATTTTCTCTATTTGTAAATTCTTGCTATCTTCCAGAAAGTTCATTTGAATTTCTGAAAAACAAAAATACAAAGATAAGCAGATGGTAAGTCAAATAATTCTTAAAATACACGTCTTACTCTGTGGCTTCAAAAGGTTGGAAGATATATACATTACCTTATTAATATACCAAAGAACCAGTCTGCTCTGTCGTTTAGCAATCTCATAGGCAGTCTGCCTGCCTATTCCATGCCCAGCTCCGGTAATGAGAACAATCTCCTCAGCCACAGATTTTCTCCTCCGAGGAATGAAAAACTTCACCAACGACTCCAAGTAGGATTAGATGATGGTCATCAGAAGCAGGATTTCCAGGACAATGTTCATGGCTCTGCTCTGTCCTTCTCCTTCTTGTTCAGTCCTTGTATAGTCCTAGAGAGGAGATGCTCTCTGCACAAAGCTCCAGGGAAGAGCTGTGCCCAGGTGTTAATGGGATTGCCAGATGGAAGCTAGCTTTGGAAGCAGGCTTTGTTCATATGCTCTAGTGGATTGGAAACACCTTGAGTTTTGAGTTTTTGTAGCGATGCCAAGTGCTAGCAGTAGCTTAGCTCAGGTCAAGAGAATGCAAGAGAATGTGCTCTCTGGACTTTTTTTTTTTTTTTTTTAATCTGAAAAGCAGTTATGTACTATATTTCACCTTGAAGTTTCACCTCTAGAAACAATTCTGGAGGCCAAGTGCAGTGGCTCAAACCTGTAATCCCAGCACTTTGGGAGGCTGAGGCAGAGGACTGCTTGAGCCCAGGAGTTGGAGACCAGCCTGGGCAACATAGCAAGACCCAGTCTGTAAAAAAAAGAGTTATAGAAAAAAATTAGCTGGATTTCATGGTATGTGTCTGCAGTCCCAGCTACCTGGGAGGCTGAGGCAGGACGATTGCTTGAGTCCAGGAGTTCATGGTGCAGTGAGCTGTGATTGTGTCACTGCACTCCAGCCTAGGCAACAGAACAAGGCCTGGTCTAAAAAAAAAAAAAAAAAAAAAAAAAGAAGAAGAAAAGAAAAATAATTCTGGAGATAATTGCATCAGCTAATGATCTGTTGTTATCTTTCTATAAATTGTTTCCTTTTTTTAAACTAGGGAAAAGGAGAATGTAGAGATAAGGTTAAGGAAACTTAGATAAAGTCTGAATGAACCCAGCTTAGCTATTTGATTCATTTATTCACAGAAGCTCAGCATCAATATTTCAGGTGGCGAATTATTTTACTCATGATGATCATTTTGCTGAAAATCTCTTGAGTTTGGGGGAGATTTTAGTATATAAAACCTTCAGTTCCTTTTGTGATAATGCTGAAAAGAGCGTTAGGCCAGGAGTCTGAAATCTCAACTTTAAAGTGGTGTGGCTTCTTTGTCTGCTGCTGTAACAAATTACCATTGACCAGGTTGTTTATAAATGACATAAACTTATTTCTCACAAGATCCAAGATCAAGGGACTAGTGGGTTCCTTGTCGTAAGAGCTGGCTTCCTGGTTTACAGATGGCTGCCATTTTACTGTCACATCAAGAGGCAGAAGGAGGAAGGAAATGCTCCATGTTATCTTGTACAAGGGCACTAATCTCATGGCAGAGCCCTCATGACCTAATCAACTCCCAAAGGTCTCACTTCCTAAAACCACCACACTGGGGGATAGGATTTCATAATATGAATTTTGAAGGAACACATTCAGCCTATAGCAACTTCCAACAGCCAAGAAGTGGAAACAATCCCAGTGTTCAACAGATAAATGGATGAACAAAATATGATAAATGTATATATACATACAATGGAATATTATTCAGCCTCAGAAAGGAATAAAATTCTGACACATACTCCTAGATAGACGAACCTTAAAGACATTATGCTAGGTGAAATAAGCCGGACGCAAACGTATAAATATTGTATGACTGCATTTATATTGTAGCGGGATTCAGAGTCTGGAGAGATGATTGAGGTTGCAGGAAGATTTATTTTAGGTGTACACTGGCCTAGCTCGAACTTGTGTCCAAAGTGGCTGAGCGTTAGACAAAGCAGACAGACTTTCTTTTATGCTCCTCAGGGGGCGAAATACAAAGCAGGAAGGAAGTACATTTTACAGAAATGGGTGCACAGGGAGTTAATCATCCCTGCCATGGCTTGTGGCACGTCTTACATCTTGAAAAACATGTTTGCAACTTAGCTTATCTGCGCGGTGGCCTTGCAGCCGTTCCACCAGGAAAACACGGACTTAACAGAACTTTTGAGGAATGTTGAGCACACATAAGGTTAAAGTTCTGCAGAAGGGAAGAGAGGCACTTACCATTTCTCCTTAACTTAGGCTCCAGGGGGACCTTCTTACAAACCATTTTTCTGCTTGCTAGAGTTATTTTAATTTTATATCATGTTGTTTTGTTAATTTTCTCTTCCCTCTTCAGTATGACGTACGTAGAGTAGTCAAATACACAGAGAAAGACAGAAAGCCATATGGTGGTTACTAGTGGATGAGGAGAAAAGGAATGGGGAGTTATTGTTTAACGAGTATGGATTTTCTCTTGGGATGATGAAAGCTCACAGGTGGATGGTGGTGGTGGTTGTACAGCAGGTTAACGCTACTGATCTGTACACTAAAAAATAGTTAACAGTGGTAAATTGTATGTTACGCATGTGTGATTTCCAGCAATCGTATTTATTTTCTCTATGCTACAATTTCCTTAACTGGAAAATAGAAATAAAAATAAAGCATATGTTACCCAACATAGATCTTCAGGACACATAACAGCCCTAACCTTCCCACACACACTGACAGACAAAGTGGCTGTAACGATCAAATGAGAGAATATGTTTATGAAATAGTTTTGCAAGTAGTGAATGGTTATATAAATCAAATCATAATAGTAAGAATTCAAATGTGTTAATCACTTACTTATATCATGGACTGATTTAAGGGCTTTACATATCAACTTATTTAATCTTCACAAGATACATTTGAGGTAGGTGTTATTAAAATCTGCATTGTACAGATGAGGAAATGGATGTACAGGCAAATTAGGTAACTTATTTGTAAGAGTAAAGTAAGAGCTGGTAAAAGGTGGAGTGAGGATTTAAACCCAGGTAGCCTGATTCTGTAGTCTCAATGTTTAACTTAGATCAGTGGTTCTCAACTAGGGTTACTTTTGTTCCACAGGGTACATTTTGGCATGTCCGGAGACATTGTTTGTTGCCACAGTTCAGGCATGCCACCATCATCTATCTAATGCGTAGAGGCCAGGGAAGCTGCTGAACTGTTTACAATTCACCGGAAAACCCTGTGCATTGAAACCAAGAATTATTTAGCCCAAATGTGAGTAGCCTCAACTAAGGCTGAGACCTGGCCTATACTTATATTATATTGGAGACAGTGTAATTGGTTCTTTAAGTTTGAACCTTGGATGAATTTATGACAAAAAATTATTACTTGGTTATATCTTTCTGCATGCAAGTTTGCTGTGACATTTGTATGGAGCTGTTAGATATTGACATAGGTGCTCTAGATCAGACCCCACGCTGGGCAGCAGTGCAGGAATCTGTTTTCAGATTGAATGTCTATAGTTCGAATATTCAGCTTGCTCAGAGGGGGTCAGACCAGAGGGACTAATGCTATCTAAATTAACATGTTACTGATGTACTTTTGAAAGGCAATTTTAAAATTTACAGTGGAATCTAGATTATTTTACACAGTGGGATATTTGTATAATGCAAGAATTAAGAATCTTTGAGACAGTGAACAACACTTCTTAACACTATTCTCAAATTGTTTGGTTGCTGAGAAATTTTATTTCATGTGAGACAACCTAGTGAACTCTCTTTTTTGTTTTTTGGGTTTTTTTTTCTTGTTTTCTAGGGGACAGAATGTTCATGTTCCTCAAATACAGGGTCACATTTGCCCCAACAACATAGAAACATACACTTTACCCCTTGATTTTTTTTTTTTTTTTTTTTTTTTTTTTTGAGGCTGAGTCTCACTCTGTTGCCCAGGCTGTAGTGCAGTGGTGCGATCTTGGCTCACTGCAACCTCTGCCTCCCAGTTCAAGTGATTCTCGTGCCTCAGCCTCCCAGGTAGCTGGGATTACAGGCACCTGCTGCCACGCCCAGCTAGTTTTCGTACTTTTAGCAGATATGGGGTTTTACCATGTTGGCCAGACTGTTCTCAAACTCCTGACCTCCAGTGATTCACCCGCCTCGGCCTCCCAAAGTGCTGGGATTACAGGCACCAGCCACTGCGCCCAACCTCCCTTGATTTTTTGCCCTAAGTTTTAGAGACTTTTTGCTTATATGTCTTTATGATATCATTGGTTTAATTTCAACAGATCTTCATAACAAGTAAAAATATTTAGTTTGCTTTGATCACATTTTATGTCAGTTTCCTACTGATATGAATGAAGACACCTTAAATTTATCATTAATTTGTCTTTAACTCACATTATAGGATAAGATGCTTTCAGTAAAATTTTCTCAACTAAGCTAAAATCATCCATAGCATTTAGAATCTTATTAAAATAAGACATTTTCTAAATTTTGTCTGCTTTTTTTTCTTTCATTAATGTCCCTCTTGAGAGCCATCTGCCTACCAATTTTAGAAATATAATTATCTTTATTCAGGTAAGAATAATTATCTTGAACAAAGGGTCAACACTAAGCCATCATTTCCTTGAAGATCATAAAACGAGGAAGTTACGGAATTTATGCACAGTAATCTACTGTTTGTTTAGGCTAACCATGTAACCTGACAAGTAGAGGTTTGGAAATACAATCTCTTCAAATACATACTCTTTTCTTTTCCTCCCTGCTGGGGTTCATTAGTTCATTGTCAAGGGTTCTATTCATACGTACTGCCAAACCGATAAAGTAGTACTAGGTATTCTTAAAACACATATAAACCTCTCCTTGTGTTTCCAAAACCCCTATCCAAATACACAAACCCCAAACTCACATTTCATCAGAGCCTTGGCATATTTCGGTTATAAAACCTCTTGCTTCATCACTGCATACCAATCCCCCTTGTAGTAGCCAAGAGAGAGTCCTGATCTCTACAGTCTGGTTCTCAATCTTTCTCTTGTTCTCCTAATTCTTCTTCCTCTGTTTATTCCAAACTCTTCCTGCCTAAAGTTTGTCTCTTTTGCTTTCAAATATTTTCAGATCTCTCCCATTACAAAAATATTCAAGGAAATCATCACATCTTCCATGTTTTACTACCAAATTAGTCTACAGTGATTACCTCTGTTTTCTGACTTCCCATTTCCTTAAGAACACAGAAATCTCTTGTCCTTTTACCTTTTTTACTCTCTACTTGGTGCAAAGTGCTATGACAGCTGCATATAAGGAGCAACAGGAGTTCACAGGAAGGGCAAATTACCCAGCCCTGAGGATGGAAGTGGGAGGTGAGCTACAAATGGGCCCCTGAGGATGAGAGGAGTAAGCTGGGTGATGAAGAAGATAAGACTGTTCCAGATATAGAAAACCACGTATGCTAACACTGGGAGGTGAGGATCATGGTGAGG